TTTTTTTTTTTTTTTTTTTTAAATCATCACTCCAGGGTGCCCTGATTGTGGGCAGCAGCCCCAACTTCAACTGTTTTGACCGTCTATCTACAACTATGACCTACGTTGATCTCAGCAGAAGTCACAAGGCCCCACGCCCTCCTAATGGTACAATACATATTATAGAATCATCCATTTACAACTGAATACATTCCATATAATTGATCCATTTTCTAAACTAATTCTAACTGCATTTTTTGTGTTCAACAGGTGGCAGGTCTGGAATTTGCTGGCCGACGTTTGAATCGGCTCATAACAATGGACCACAAAAACCTCTCACTGGACTGATGAGCTACAATGCCATAGCTGGTCTGATGACAGTCTCTGGTGAGTCTGATTCCCTCAAAATGTGTATGAATCTCCAGTTTAAACAGTCAAAGATGATGTCATTATACAAAAAAAAAATATTTACCATCTTTTTTCTTTTTGACCTCAGACACAACTTTTGTTGGGTTCAGGAGTGTGTGCTCGTCATAGAAAGTCTGGATGCAGACACAGAAACCAGGCGTCTTTCACCTGTAGCCATCCTGGGGGACAAATATGTGGATTTGATCAACGGTATGACTCTTAACTCCCCTCATTCTGCTAATTATCATCTACCATAAGCAGAAAAAGGTGTGTATTAATGAGTTTTAAAAACTTACTGTGAATATCTTGTCACAGGCCCACAAGACCACGGCTGGTGCGCTGGTTACACGTGTCAGAAGCGAGTATCTCTATTCCACGCCATTGTTACCACCAATAAGTCCTTTGACATCTATTTCACCAGCACAACACCACAGAAGCTGAGACTTATGCTGCTAAATGCTGGACTTACAGAGGTTAGTCAGTAAGATGGATTATACCAGGGCTGTCCAAACTCGGTCCTGGAGGGCCAGAAATTACATGTTCATGACCAACCCGGGAAATGAGGATCTACAACATCCAATCAGTGTTGAGAGGATTTCCAAGATAAACAGCACAGAGGACTCTCTAGCATTCATTCATCGGCCTGATCTGGGGTAAACTGAATACAACTAGCAGTACACAAATAGAAGGGATTTCTCCCACTCAGAATTGCACATTGGTACACTTATTAATGCAACAGCATGTCACCATGAGTTCACCATGTTAAACAGCGTTAATAGACTATAGACCAGGGGTGCCCAAACTCGGTCCTGGAGGGCCGGTGTCCTGAAGAGTTTAGCTCCAACCCCAATTAAACACGCCCTCCAGGACCGAGTTTGGACAGCCCTGGATTATACAGTACTGACAGTAGACACACAGCATTTACAGGTCACACAAAATTTAGAACAATAAAAGATTAAAAATTATTTAATTGGTTTTATTCTTATTTATAATTTGTCTGTTATCGGGTTACATTGAGGCACTTACAATGGAAGTGAATGGGGCCAATTCATAAACATGAAAATACTCACCATTTTCATTAGTATTGTCACAAGATGTGAACAGTATGAGTGTTAACTGATTTTAGTGTAAAAAAAAAAAAAAAACTCGCTAATCTGTGTAAAATTTTGTCTTATTTTACAATTTTGTTGTCATGGCAATGCAACACCTCAGGTGGCCACTCAGGAGGTGACCCGTGATGACCAGCAGGTGGAGACAGTCAGGACGGTATCGTCCCTGGTGGTGGTGGTCCAGCCCGTGGTGGGATTGTCCCCCGGGCCCCTCAGCGTGCAGCCCAGCATCATGGCTGTGGATGCAGCGGTGAGAGAGACGCTTCCTGATTTCATTAAGAATACCTGAAACTGTAATTTTCAGGTGATTACTAGGAAACTGCACCTGGTATCGAGTATCTTTGCGTGTCTGTTTTCAGAGTGACTGCGTGTCTGTGGGGGTGACGACTCTGACCATGTCAGCTGTGCTCAAAGATGCTAATGGGAATCCAGCAGAGGGACTTCATGGAAACACCACCATCCCATTCAGTGACTGCTGGGCCAATTACACTGATTTAGCCATCTTTACAAGTGGTGGGTAGCCTTAGTTATACAAATACAATTTTTTGTATTGCTGTCACTTGTTATTTTAAGTGTTTACAGTCATTTCTCTCCCTGTACCTCTTTTACAGGTGAGAACTTGAAGTTGGCCTTTACTTTGAGTGAATGGAAGGCTGAGTCCAGATCTTTCACACTCAGAACAGCTACAACGCCATCTTCTGTGGTCGTCACTACGGAGGATGATGACTTCCCCAGCAGCTTTGACTCCAGCCCAACTGTCTTGTCAGAGTCTGTGTATCTGCTCATGCTGTTGTGTGGTCTACTCCTACTGCTCATGAGACCCTAAATAATCACAACACACAGTGCACTCTCATAAATATATTCTATTGTCTTCTAATGATTTGCCTTTGTCTATATACTACTGTTTTCCCATATGATCATTATCTGTAAGCTACAACTATAAATTCTGAACACATTCACTCATAATAACTGTAGAACAAAAACAACTGTTACTTTGAACAAAATTAAATATTTAAATCTATTCCTTTTACTATGAAATATATATTTATATGCTTTCTTATATGCTTAATAAAATTTCAAGTTCTTCCATACGTGTTGTTTTTCCATATACAGGCGTACTTTTCCATTTCCTTTAAAGTCAGCCAGAAAATGGATGTTGCGATTGTCTGTTCTTGCCTACTCTAACATACTGCATACTGTATCTCCGGAAACTGCTTCTTGAATGAGAGAAAGAAAAAAAAAGTAGGACGGGACTTGATTTTATCCATCAAGAAATTATTGGATCAGATTATGAGAGCACATTAATTTTAATAAAAATGAAGTGCACAGATTAAATAATGTAAAATAAACACTGCAATATTCCATAAAAAAATAAGAATTGCAAGTTTTGATTTCATGGTGATTTTAAATGTCTACAAACAATGTCCAAGAAGTACTACATGCTTAACAGGACAATTCAGTCCTTTAAAAAAACCAAAAACATTAAGACACATTTAATTCGTATCACATCTCATATCAGCATTCTGGGGTGGAAATAACATTTTAAATATTTTTGAATATTCTATTCATTCATCTTGCCAAGGTTAATTTCATAATATTTTATGTATCCATAGTTACATAGTTACACAAAATTATGCACAAAATATTCAGTAAGTGGTAATTATCTTAATATTCCTTTGTTTTACTCACACAGCACGTCTCCTGTTTCAGTTTGAAACTCCTCATCTCTGTTTGAATCTGACTAAAACATTTCTTACTTGTCGGGCCCCCAATTGTAACAAAAAAACATAACAAATGCCCCTAGATTTGACCTCGAAGCCACATCAATTATTCCATCTGCCACAGTTAAACCCTTAGGTATCATTCTTGACTCTTCTCTAAACCTAGATGCTTATATTAGTAAGCTCTCCAAAGCTGCATTTTTTCAACTTCGCCGTATTGCCAAACGCCGTTCCTTCATCAGTCCAAAAGATGCTGAATTACTAGTAGGCTACATGCTTTAATCACATCCCGCCTTGATTACCGTAACACTATTTTTTTCCGGATTACCAGTATCCATCTCTCGATTGCAATATATTCAAAATTCTGCTGCGAGAATGCTAACTTATACTAAACGTTCTGCACATATCACTCATATTCTATTCAACCTCCACTGGCTGCCTGTGTCCTCTCGTATCATTTATACAATTCTTCTGCTTACCTTTAAATCACTCAGAGAGAGAGAGAGAGAGAGAGAGAGAGAGAGAGAGAGAGACTATTTGCCATTCACATTGAGCTTAAAAGGATATTAAAAACTTGAAAAAAACAAATCCGTAGTTTTCTTTTTTTTTCGATTGTGGTTCGTATTCTACATAGCAGTTACATCAGTGACCTTGGTTCTAATATTAAAACCTTATAATAATTTAATAATAATTTATGCATTTAGCAGACGCTTTTATCCACTTACAGTGCATTCAGGCTATACATTTTTTACCAGTATAATAAATAATTATAATATAAAACATGACTACTTATAAATGTTTTACTGTAAAAATCGCGCATATTAAAATGTGTGCAGACATGGAGGACAGTAGCATCACCTGAAAGCTGGGTAGGAGGCAGATATCTTTAACGTGTTGTTTGGATTGAGTTGAGCTAATAATGTCATGACGGTACTTAAGGAGGCTGTTCTTCAGAGGAGCTGCTCTCAGTCTGGGCTCCTCCACACACACACACACACACACACACACACACACACCTGAGATGGGTGAGAGACGCTCTCAGTCTTGGCTCCTCCACACACACACACACACACACACACACACACACACACGTGATGTGTTCGTGTTTTTCCCAAGCAGGTCCTTCTTTTTTTCTTGTGCATTTACAGGATGTGTGCTTATGGAGCGTCTGGGGTATTTTTGACTTTTACGCTACTTTTGCATTTTCTTTGTGTTCACTCAATAAATCCTCGGTTTCCAATCGCATCCATGAAAGTGACCAAGACTGTTCCTGCTGCTGATGGCCACAGGAGAGCCAAATACGGCAAAAGTATTCTGTCAGCATCACCGTTATCAGGAGACGTGTATGACGTGCAGTCACAGCGGGCGATCAAGGACGCAACTGAACCTCATGATTACATGATCTCCATCTACAAGACCTTTTCCTCGGCTGAGAAACTGGGACTGAACGCGAGTTTTTTCCGCTCGTCAAAAGCAGCAAACACCATAACGAGTTTCGTGGACGATGGTCAAGGTTAGTTATTTCTTTATTACTTAATTTCGGATTTAAAATTCTTTGTTTGCTCCGAGATTGTTTCCCTTTTCAACGAGAGTCAGAATTACAGTACAGGTGCGTTTGAGATGGAAAAATACTGTTTCTTATTACACAATGTACGACAAAAAAATCTTTTAGGAATGAATGGGTGAAGTGTCATAACGCTAAAGGGACTGGGAACAATCCTAATTAAATAATATTAAATAATAAATAAAGCAAGTCCCGAAAGAAAGAGTAAACAAAGTTCAATACGAGACATTGAAAGAAACAGTCTAGAATTAATGTTTTTTTCATTTGTTTAACTTTTCATTCTTTTTAATCTAAAATAAAAACAAAGCAATCAATCAAGAATGAAGGAAGAAAATAAATTTCAACAAGATATCCTAGTTGATTGAAACATTCTTCTTCTTCTGCATTCATGTTTAATATGCTTCTCTAAACTGTCTAAATACTATACAGCCACTGTCACTAAACATTTGTGCTCTTTGTTCCAGATGACCTTTCAAACTCCCCACTGTGGAGACAGAAATACTTATTCGATGTATCGATTCTTACTGAGAATGTGGAGCTCTTGGGTGCTGAACTGAGGATATACACAAAGATCTCCGGAAGCTTCCGAGCATCTGAGACGGGCCCAGTGGAGATACAGTTGCTCTCCTGCCAGTCGCACGCCGTCCTTGATTCCAAAACCTTGGATCTGGAGGATGCGCATAAACCAAAATGGGAGGTTTTTGACGTATGGGAGATTTTTAAGGAACGTCACCGCCACTCACACGGGACGCGCTTCTGTTTAGAGCTCAAGGCGACGCTCGATAATCCTGAGAGGGAAATCAACTTGCAATATCTTGGATTTCACAGACATGGCCGCCCGCAACTAAAGAAAGCCATATTGGTTGTTTTCACAAGGTCAAAAAAGAGACAAAGCCTTTTCTACGAAAAGAGGGAGAAGATTAAACTGTGGGGTCTGGATAAAGGACCTCACTCAAAGTCTCGACGGAGAAGACGGACCACTTTACCCAACCGCCACGGCAAGAGGCACGGCAAAAAGTCCAAATCTAGGTGCAGCAAAAAACCCTTGCATGTGAACTTCAGGGAGTTGGGTTGGGACGACTGGATAATCGCTCCCTTAGACTATGAGGCCTATCACTGTGAGGGCATGTGTGACTTCCCCCTCCGGTCTCACCTGGAGCCAACCAATCATGCCATCATACAAACTCTCATGAACTCCATGAACCCCAGCAACATGCCGCCCAGCTGTTGCGTCCCGTCCAAACTCAGTCCCATCAGCATCCTGTACATCGACGCAGGAAATAACGTCGTATACAAGCAGTATGAGGACATGGTGGTGGAGTCCTGTGGCTGCAGGTGATTGTGAATGTCTGATTTCCTGATCTGCCTTCAGAACACTAGTGGAAGCCTTAGCTGAAATGCTATACTGTAAATCACTTCTGGAAATACGATTTTGGACTGGAATCAAGCACAAAAACATTGTTACATCACTCTTAGTTCCATTTCACTGGTTCATTCCTACAACACATTCCTGCTTTATAGCTGAATTTTATGGACTGATATGTAAATTATTTTTTTTATTGTACAGGTACAAATTTAAATTTATGTTCAGTTACACTAAGTTATTTTCTCTAAGTGCCATCATTTATTCAGTAATAATGTTTCACACATATAATAAGCTATTTTAGTTTTTGTATCTACCTCATTGTACAAATTATGTTACTGTGTAAATGTTTTCCATTGAGAGATTAACATCTTGAAAGGTTTTGTAAATATTTTATTAGAAGTACGAACCACATTATTCCTTCAATAAAATACCACAAAATGAAATATATTAGTTAAATATTCCTTCTTGAATATTACCTTTTTGTTATTGCTTGTACAAGTACTGAACTGAATTACTATTAGATGCATAATAATAAAGAGTAATGAATGTTTTTAAAATATGAATATTTAATAATTGGACAAATAATTTTAATGTATACACTAACGTTGAAAAGGTTGGGGTCAGCAAGATTTTTAAAAAATAATTTATTACTTTTATTCAGCAAGGACACATTAAATTGATTAAAATCGACAGTTATAATGTTACAAAAGATTCCTATTTTAAATCATTTCAAACTATTTCTATTCATTAAAAAATCCTGAAAAAATGTGTTATGATTTACACTAAAATATTAAGCAGCACAACTGTTTTTAACATTGATAATAATAATAAATGTTTCTTGAGCAGCAAATCAACATATCTGAATGATTTCTGAAGGATCATGTGACACTGAAGACTGGTGTAATGATACTGAAAATTCAGCTTTGCATCACAGGAATAAATTACATTTTAAAATATATTAAAATAGAAAAGAGTAATTTAAAATGGTAATAATATATAATATTGTGTGTGTGTGTGTGTGTGCGCGTGTGCATTTTTGTGACATATGAGGATACAAATTTGTATAATGACATTGGTATGACATACAGTATCTCACAGAAGTGAGTACACCCCTCACGAAGCTCTGGTGAACTCCATGCCCAAGAGGGTTAAGGCAGTGCTGGAAAATAATGGTGGCCACACAAAATATTGACACTTTGGGCCCAATTTGGACATCAGTGTACTCACTTTTGTGGCCAGCGGTTTAGACATTAAATGGCTGTGTGTTGACTTATTTTGAGGGGACAGCAAATTTACACTGTTATACAAGCTGTACACTCACTACTTTACATTGTAGCAAAGTGTCGTTTCTTCAGTGTTGTTACATGAAAAGATATAATAAAATATTTACAAAAATGTGAGGGGTGTACTCACTTCTGTGAGATACTGTATATAT